GCTGCTTGGGGGCTGCGGCGAGCAGCCGTGGGTCGCGGTGGGAACGGGCTGAGCCGGCGCTGGGAGGGGAAAACAGGCAGGGTTTGGGCAGGGAATTTCACAACTCTTCCAGGTCAGGAATAGAAACCAGGTCTCCTGACTCCTGGCTCAGCCCCTTATCCGCCGCATCAGATTGCCTTTCTAATAATAATAATAATAATCAGGAATACATAAATAATAATACAAGGCGAGATAGTTACTACTCTTAGCGTTTGGTTTGCTCTGACTTCACCGATAGCCGGCGCTGGCCAAACCCCCGCTGAATCACACCCGCTCCTCCTGAATTTCGACATCTCGGCCCATCGCTCCCCATCTTTAATTTAAATTTTCTGATAGGGAGGCGAAGGCTTTGTAGCCAGGCGGGGAGCTGGGGGGGGGGGCTGAGCCGTGGGCACGCTCACCCTGCGCTGTTTGGGTTGGGGCCGTGCCTTCGTTTGGCGTAATTAGGCAAAACCGGAGGATGGAGCGGCTTGCCCTGGCTCTGGCTTGGTGTGCCCGAGGGATGCCCTCCCTGGAACGCCGTTCCGGGCTGCAAGATCAGCAGTTTTCTCCTTTTTTTTTTTTTTCTTTCTTTTTTTTTTTCTTTTTTTCCTGATTTGTGGACCTCAAAATGTCTGTGCCGGAGGTGCAGCTCCTTAAGGAGGTCTGTGTGGTGTTTGTTCACTGCGGATGCCCTCACCTTGTGTGGACCCCAAAGGTCCACCTCTCTCTCATCCCTGCACCCCCACAGCTCATAAATTGCTGATCAAAGGAGTTCGGCCCCAAGTTGTGGTTTTGGGGGATTTTTTTTCGGATGATAATAGATTTGTTGGCAGTAAAGGTCATATTTCCATGCCCAGTTTGACCCTGGGGCTTAAATTCATGTTTGGTGAAAACCCAGCGTCTTGCATCGGAAGAAAAAAAAATTAAAAACCCGTCTTTGCCACACTAGTTTGCATTTTCTAATGAACCTGAAATGGAAAAAAAAAAAAAAAGAAAATAATTAAGTCACGCCCTTTGCCCTTCCCTCCCCGCACTCTTCTGCAGAAACTCTCGGTGTGGAAATACCGGCTGCAAAATGATCCGGACTCCCTCGTGGAAACCCAATGTGGTTTTCCCG